CTTTACCTTGTCCAGCCCATAACTTCTGATCCGCGCAAGATAATGTAAACTTCATAAACATAATGTATAGAAGTGTGTTTTCATACACCCATGCATCATCACTTGAAAGAGTTTCACATACACTTTCCATCGCCCCAGCTTCAAGGTCAAGGTCACAAATGAAGGTCAATTGTAATACAAGGCATTTGTCAGGGCCATTGCTGTAGATTGCTGTTTTGCTGTGTATTAGTTTGTCAACGAGTGTATAATGTGCTGTATGCGGTACTCTTGTTATTGTAAGAGACAGCCTATATTAACTTAGCTTGTGCAGCTTCTTTTCCCTCTTCAGTCTCTTTTCTGATGGTCTCTATCAGGTTTGTCATGAAAGGCTGACATGGTAGTAAAAACATAGTTGCATTGTTTATTTATATAGGTTTGACTTGTCTTATTGACAATGTTTTCCCATTACATTACAGTTTTGGTCATTTTATCAGGCTTTCAAATGGCAAGGTTAATGATGGAATATACTGCACTTGTACTTTTGGTATGAGCTTACTCTTGAATATACTCATAGTACCGTAGATGTCATTCCTGAACAAAATATTACCTCTAAACAGCAGCACCAAAAGCTGTTACAAAAGTACAATATTTTTACGCAAATGTAGGGTTTCAATGTTAAACTTAGAATAACCATTTCAGCCGTTTTTAGAAACCAACTCAAAATGACTGTTGCTATTTTTTATTACCTCAGTTAATCTAGATAACTAAACCAGCCACTAGGTCACACAAGTCAGTGTATCTCTTGTGTCGGTCCCATGCCTGGGTAAATGGTAAGGGTTGTGTCAAGAACGGCATCTGATGTAAAACACTTGCCAAATCAAACATGCAAGTTCCAAGAGAATGGAAATGACTGTAGTCAACACTTTTTCCCAAAAGAGGGAGGGACATAGTCACCTGTAAGATCAGAGGGAAGAATACGCAGGTAGTGGATGCTAGAGTTAGATTAGAGGTGACTATTTGTGAGTAGCAGTATTTTTTCAACCCAAGAAGGAGCACCACAGATGCCATCTTTGCTTTGTGGATGCTGAAGGAGAAGTACAGAGAGGGTCAGAAAGAACTTCATTGTGTCTTTGTGGATTTAGATAAAGCATATGACAGGGTTCCGTGGGAGGAGGTGTGGTATTACATGAGGAAATCGGGAGTGGCAGAGAAGTATATTAGACTGGTACAGGACATGTATGAGGATAGCAGGACAATGGTGAGATGTGCTGTAGGAGTGACAGATAACTTCAAGGTGGAGGTGGGATGCATCAAGGACTGGCTCTGAGCCCCTTCTTGTTTGCTCTGGTGATGGACCAAGTAACAGATGAGGTCAGGCGGGAATCCTCGTGGACTATGATGTTTGCAGATGACATTGTGATCTGTGGTGAGAACAGGGAACAGGTGGAAGAGAACTTGGAGAGATGGATATATGTACTTGAAAGAAGAGGAATGAAAGTCAGTTGTAGTAAGATGGAGTACATGTGTGTGAATGAGAGGGAGGCTGGTGGAACAGTGAGGCTACAAGGAGCAGAGCCACAAAGGTGCAGGACTTCAAGTACTTGGGGCCCACTGTACAGGAAAATGGAGAATGCAGTAAAGAGGTGAAAAAAAGAGTCCAGGCAGGATGGAGTGGATGGAGAAAAGTTTCAGGAGTTATTTGTGACGAAAGGGTGTCAGCAAAGGCCAAAGGAAAAGTTTACAAGACAGTGGTGAGACCAGCTATGTTGTATGGTCTGGAGACAGTGACACTGACAAAAAGACAGGAGAAAGAATTGGAAGTGGCAGAAATGAAGATGTTGAGGTTCTCCTTAGGAGTGACAAGGATGGATAAGATTAAGAATGAGATCATCAGAGGTACAGCACAGGTTGAACAACTGGGAGATAAAGTTAGGGAGGCCACACTGAGATGGTTTGTACCTGTCCAGAGGAGGGACAGTGGGTATACTGGTAGAAGGATGTTAGAAATGCAGCTGCCAGGAAAAATACAAAGAGGAGATATATGGATGCAGTTAGAGAGAACATGGAGGTAGTTGGAGTGAGGACAGAGGATACAGAGGACAGAGTGAGATGGAGGAAGATGACTTGCTGTAAAGACCCCTAAAGAGGGAAAAGCTGAAAGAATTAGTAATCTAGATAACCAGATTATAAAAAATTAAACTTTTTTGATATCTTCAAATAGTATTCTGTTATAATAGGCATGGGCACTGGTGGAGATTTCGAGCTTGTATTATAGCTCTTTTGTGATAAAGATCAATGAGTGTAAAGTAAAAATTAAAAGCATTTTGAAATCAAAAAGGGAATGATCATAAAATTTACTTTTCATAAACCCTAACTTAAGACTGGTTAAAGTTGTGTGAGCTAAAAACATGCAGTATTCCTTTACCCTTTCTTTAAAAGACCTCCACTCTGACTCGGCCAGCACTCTGTGTCTCTCCATCTCCATCCTCTCCGCCCTCCCCATTACTGTGATTTCCTCTCCTTCTTGGCTCCGTGCTGTTTTGGTTATCAGTAATTGCCTCAAATGCTTTCCTTCCCCTCTCCATCATGAAAGCTGTAATTTTGTCACTCTTGCCCACCAGCAGCCCATGCCAGGGTGCTGCACATCCAACCACTGACTTCATGTTGTTTCCAGTCAGAAGGAAATGCAGCAGCACATTTTTCTTATAGGGTGAGGTGAAGAATACAGGACACTCACTTTTATCTGTAGCTCATAAAGGATTTTATTTTTACTCTTTGCAAGTCTATGACCTCTCTATGAAATAATAAACAAAAAAAAAACATTTATTTGAACTTTTCTTTACATTTGGCTTTAAGTTATCAATAGGTAAGAAGTTGTTAGCCAGTCTGTTCTACAGTATTTCCAGTAAGTGAACTATGTATTTTCCTTTTCTTTGGAATTTTATTTAATTCTCTAACTACGTATCAGATACAAGTTTGGAGCTCAAAGTGGTGGTCATCTCAGTTCAAGATGGCTGCCACAGGGAACTGACTTTGAAAAACACAATAAATGGGTACAATCAGTCAGTTATACTGATACTGTTCTAACATTTGGTGTGGTTGCAGCAGTGCATTATTAACAGCACATATACGTGCTACCTATTTTGAAAGAATACGTAAAACTTTTGCATTAGCTACTAGTCAACCCTGTCTGTGTGTAAGCAAAATTTCTCCTCAACCAGTGGAAAGAATTTACTGAAATATTTAGAAAGTGTTAACTGGATATACAACGGGAGTCGGTCTTATTACAGATGATTGGCAGAGCCAGTTAGCATTAGCCAACACACAACTGGTAATAATTATATACAATTTTAACTAAAATTAAATGTGGGAGGTGCTGAGAGTCATTCACAGCACAAACTTTAAGTCTGATATTGCAATTAACATTATTGTCAAGGCTTTAACAAAACAGCTGAAACTGTAATTTTTAACACAGTGATCATAACTATGGTCATAATTTAAAACTCTAACTTCAATGGCAGTGGGTGATAGAAAATCCTTAATGCTACACTACCTTAGATAAATAATGTTACTAATTGAATTTTTATGTATATGAATGTTTCTGTTCAGTGCCCTGAGAGGACTTCTGTTGTGACTTGGCACTACAGTAGTCCCTCGCTACTTCGCGGTTCGTTTATCTCGGACTCGCTCTATCGCGGTCTTTCAAAATAAGAATGGACATGACACACAACTGGCTGATTGATGGATGAGCCACACAATTGGTGGGCAGAGAGACACTCACACGTCTGAGCCGTGTTCTGTTTGTACCGACGGTTTTCGAGTGGTGGGGTTGCGTTCAGCGTGAGGGTTCAGGATGAGGGAAGAGGCTGCCTTTAGCTTTTTAGCTAGCACACCTGCATTGCGAACCGCTAGTTTAGCATTCCGTCAGTGCCGACAGGTGGTCTGGGGTGGGGGGGGTGGGGTTCAGTAGACGGGCTGCTAGGTTCTGTTGACAGGGTGGGGCGCCCCGCCCCGGTGGGCGTGGTCCCTAACACCTGTGATAAACGAGGGACCACTGTATATAAATAAATTGAATTGAATTGAATAGGCATTAATTCCCAAATTACTCAGTCTATTTTTCAACCCAAATTCTAGTTTAATTTATAAGTACACTGACTCTCCAACAACGTTTTTTTTAGTTAAATTTGACAATTAAAATAGTGTTTTAGACATTCACAGCTATTAATTTCTTGTGTTGGAGTTTAAGCAGAACTTGTGTTCAAATCTTATTTTCTTGAAGTCATTTTGATAACATAAAAATGTGTCACCTTTACACGTGTAGTGTTTTCTAATAACTTTACAATGTGAATTTATTCCATTAAAGGCAGGAATTCATATGCGTCATGGGTTTTCTTATGAAAGCCATTTTACTTGATCATTTTTATCTAAACGTTTGAGTCACATTTGCTTCATCATACTGCAATGCTTCCTTCCCAATCTTTTTTTATCATAAATATTTTGCATGCATCTCGTTGTCTCGGGGTAATTTAATACTCACACCTTATCCATGTTTTGTAGTTTCACCCTCTCCATCTACCTAATGCTTAAGTGCTGCATTGTAAATCACAGTAGGCATTAAATTTAATCCCCTTAGTTTTCAGTGTTCTTCTCTTGCCTTCCTTTTTGCTGCTGCTTCCTGATTTCAGCGTTGTCGTAGAAATAAATGGAATATGATTGCAGATGATTATCTGCATGCATGTTGTATGTCTAACAGATGATTACCTGAAAGTAGTTTTTCTCCGTGCTGTTATTCATTATGAAAATCTTCTGGTTTGTTGACTCCTAATTGC